ATGCTTTACGACAACAGAGGGGAGAAATTTTAAGAAAAAAAAACGCCGATAATTTTTTCAATGGGTGGTAACTCTGAAAATAATGAGAATTTTTCAAAATTCTAGTTGAGCTTCTGTAGAGAGGTCTGCGCTATATACAGGCAAAATATTATTATAATAGAAGCATTTTTCTCAAAAGGAGAACATTTTGAAAAAAAGGTTATTCTAAGTTAATTTTTTGCCAAAATATTGTATTTAAATCATTTTTTCCCCGCATAATGTCCTAAAAACAATTTTATACAGGTATTCTAATCTAAGTAACACTAAATATCATAAAAAGTATCCATTTCTGCGCTTTTTTAAAATCAAGGTTCTGAACGTAGTCGGATACCTTAAACAGAAATGCTTTATTGTTGGTTCAACATATTTTAATATATCAATAACAAAACAGAAAGAAAATTTCATAACCAGTCTTTCAATGCATAACGGGGTTTTTAATTCCATAAAAATAATACTATTATTTTGGCTTTAAATTAGGGATAGGATAAAATACAGGGTGATTCATAAAGAAGTATGAACTTTCTAAAAGCTGTTCGACAACAGTCAAACGCAACTCGTCATCGAAACGTAAAGTAGATGTAAAGTTTGTGTCTCACTCCTGACGAAAGTAACCTACGAAACAGCATGCATGTCATGTAACAAGTAAATCGAAATGGCTTCTACAGCGGAAAAAATGCCTTTTATATTCATGAAATTAGTAAAATGCCCCGGGAGCCACTTTTTGGGGTTTGTTATCCCTTTAGTTTATGCTACAGTTGCAGGAGAACATTGACAACTTCATTCTCTAATCGGAGGGTGCACTACCACACTGGTCGGCCAACGTGTGAGATTACCTCAAATAACATCTCCATCACCCATCGATTGGACGAGTCACGAGCTACAGCAAGGTTGTCCAACCCAAAAGACTTTACGGGCCACTTCGGAAAAACATTATAATCTAGCGGGCCACACAAAAAAAAATATGTACCTATATATCAGATTAAGAAATAAAAAGCATTTATTAGAGTGAAAATTTAAAACAGAATGAATTATTATTGTTTTCATTATTTTTCATGCATGCAGACATGGATAATATAATAATGTTTATATAATATAATAATAAAATGATCAAATAATGTTTAAAATATTACAGATGCCATTTTCTTGAAAATAACGGTGCTCCTTTTCAATTGATCTTTCGTTACTCAATTCTGAAATTTGATTGCGCTGTCATTCGCAAGCGATTAAGTATACATTGTCCTTTATCTTAACCGTCCAGAATTTTTTTTTTTAAACTTCAAAAAACATATCTGACTGCCTCTTGCTTTTTGGGCACTCCAAACAGAAAAGGAGGAGGAGAAATGAAAGTTGCACACACAGAGAATCATGTACCATCCATAGTAAAGAATATGCATAATGCAATTCGGAATTTATTTTTTTAAATAAATTAAGTAATAAGTAATTTATTATAGAAAA